AAGATTCTGAATCGCGTCTGAAATGTCCTTTGTCTTAATGTAAAATGATTTTCAGGTTTAAAGTATGATTAAGTATCGTTAAACGCGGCTAATGAAATCTATTTACGAAAAACGTGAAGATTATATTCCGAACGACCCAATAATTAGTATTTTTTTGTTTAAATTTGTACAATTTGATAATAGCAAACAGACCCCTCAAATTTGTTAAAGGAAAAGTAATAAAGACTATATACTTAATAAGGTACACTTAATATGATAATAATTAAATATAAAATTTTATTAATCATTTTTTTCTAAAATACAGTAACTGTTTTGATACTTGTGCGAAACAGTATAGGTATCTCGCGTTCGAGCTACAGAAAGAAAAAAAAAAAATAATGAATGTTAAAAAGCAAAAAAAAGTAATGAAAAATAACAAAAAAAAAAAAAAACGAAAAAAAAAAAAATAAATAAAAAGAAATATTCTGGGTGTCTGGACGTGCACGTTTTACAAAACGCATATAAGGAGGAGTAGAACCTTAAATGCACGGGAGTATTATAAATGCGTCTGAGACGTTCCTTCTTGGTTCACCTTTTTTCAAATAAGTGCTGCTACTACGAAATACACTGGCTCGATCAATTCTTCTTTCTGAGAACTTGCAGTATGTTCCTTTTTTTATTTTTTTTTTTTTTTTACTTTATTTTATTTTGTTTTATTTATTCATGTGCATCACCACGGTCAATGGTATTCACAAGGGAGAAGAGAGATAAAGTGAAATCATTTCGTCGATTTTTCTTTTAGAAAATTTTCGAGCTTTTGCCTAATTTAAAAAAGTGTTTTAAGAAAATTACTTCCAAAGCGTATCGTAAATTTCCTCGATTTACAAAACAACAAGAAAAATATTATTTTTAATATTTTTGCAATCCGTTATTGTGCTCATTCCAATAAGACGATTATGATTTTTGTTCTAACGCGTTCAGTTTTGTTAATTTTGATGTTTGTTTGTTTTTTCTTTCTTGTTTCTTTGTTTTTCTTTCTTTTTTCTTTTTTTAAATTTCATTTTTGTATAACATGATGGGTCCGTCCTTTCTCGTTTAACTTTCTTAGCAGTTGAATCCCCTTGCGGCGAAGTTATCGGCCTTTGGAATCGGGAACGCGTTTATAGAAACTCGAACAGAAAATACTTTTGATTCTCGCCTTGTTGGTAACGAAATCATGGCAACTTTTTTACTTTATAAATTATAATACTGACGGTTATGTGTGATAAACAAAAAAAATTGTGTTCTCGATTGCTCGAAATTTTAATAGAACAAAAATAAAAAATAAAAAAAAAAGGAATGAAATGAAAAATTATTTTTATACGTTCGAAATATAATAGAAAAGAGGAGGAAGAAGAAAAATGTTGTTACCGATAAAAATTTCGTGGTTTTGCTTTGAATGGGGGGAAGGGGGAAGGGAAGAGGTGGGATTGAGAGGTGGGGTCTGAAGAGAAAAAAACCAATGGAATTTCGCTGACGTAATTTTTTTGTTACCTTTTCAAGTTGCTATTGCCGACAATGAAAGGCGAATTTAGCTTGAACGTAGGGAAAAAATGCCGGCCTTATAGCTCTCCGGTATTTTTCCAACATCATAAAAAATACTTTTACCGGAACTTTCTAATCTTTCTAGGCGATTAATCGCGAGTGATCCTTCCTGCAATAACTTGGACGTATATTTCAACCAGAATTGCGTTCCTTTGTGCGAGAGTCCTTGGCCTCTCTTAACGTTTGAAAAACGCTGAAGGAAATATTAACGTTAATATAGTTCAAGAAATTAATGAAAAATATAAAAAACGAAACTAAAAGCATTCAATTCATAATTAAAACATCACTGGCACCTATTATGAAAAAAAGAAAAGAAAAAGAACGAAGGAATATTAACTCGATAGAGTATTTTTTGTTTGTTTTTTAAGATATGAATTTTATATATCATTCCTATAATTCGATATAATAAGAAAACATAATAAAAGTATATATATAAACGAAAGAACACGGAAATAAAAATGAATAAAGAAAAGTGTAAATATTATAAACGAGATAAATTAATACGTACGATTTTCTCGAAACATTTCTGAGACCTTTATAATCCCGTTAACGTAGAGTCTAATAACAAAACGTTCAGCAGTTGGTTGGGTGTTAAATTCGAAAATCGTGTTTGCAAAGTTTGTAGGATAGGCGAAGAGTAAAGAGAGTAAGAGAGAATCGTATTCGTGGGCAAACTAAAACGAACAGAACGGTGGGCAGAGATTCTGGCAGGTGTGACAGGCCGGTTAACGTGAGGAAAGGTGCCACACGGTTGGCTAATACGGCAAGTTATCCACTTAGAAATTCGCCTTAATACCACGTAAGAGTGAGAAAGAGAAAACGAGAGAGATAGAGAGAGAGACAGAAAACTCAACTGAGGTGTTAGGACTCGAGCTTTCGTTGCACTCTCAAACCCCCCCCCCCTCCCTTCGCCTCTTCCATCCTTCTCATACTTCTACTCCCTACCAAAACTTTCAACACCGTCGAACACACCAACTCTGTATGCCACCCTGTTACCTAAGTTCGGATAAACCAAGCTAAGTTTCCAGTCTGCTACTTATGGAACTGCCAGCAAGGAAAATGCCATAGCTAAAGTTTATTCGCAGTTTAGATTCCTCCTAGAGAAATAAACGCAGACATTGATTTACATATTGATCAATCCATAATATAATATCTCTTAATCAGAGTTACATTATTTTTTTTTTCATTTTTTCTCCCCGTTTTTGGTTTTTTTTTCTCTCTTTTTGTTTAATCGGTTTATATAATTAATGTAATTCATATGTTATTCATACGTAATTTTCTTAACTGTGTAGTTTTCATTGTTCTTTTATTTATTAATCGAGCACCGTTCTGCTGATTGTTAGAGAGGGAATAATTTAAAACTTATAATCGTATAGAATAGAAAATAATATTGGATGATCATTTTATTGATCGACTAAATGACTTTGCTTTTGAATACTCTTCTCTCTCTCTCTCTCTATCTCTCACTTTTTTTATTTCGATAAATAGATGAATACGGATTTTATTTATAACACGATCCAAAAAGTGGAACGCCAAGAGAGAAAACGATTTTTAAAATACGAAAAAAGAACGTAGAAATCAGGTTTGCGTTCTCGAAATTCTCGACCTACTTTTTATCCTACTCGACAGTTTCGCTACGTTTTTTCCCCTTCAAGGTTACGCTGATTGTTAATCTATATTAACCGATATTCCCACGGTTATCTATATTATAAGATATTATCTACGTTGCATAGGATAGGCCAATAATTTTTTTCGTTCATATTCATCAAAATTCATTTTCTTTATAGTTTAGAAAATATTTTACAATTTAAATTAAAGTGTAAAATACTGTAGAAATATTGTGTAAAAATAAAATTATTATTGATTAACATCGCGATATTAAATAAATTGAACAATAAAATGTTACACAAAAGTAAGAAAATAATATTTTCGAAGAAAAATATGATATCGAAATTTATCGAAAGCTTGTTTCGATCATGCTGTTCGGTAAAAATGATGTCACTTTCTCACTCTCTCTCACTTTTTTCTTATATCAAATCTAGTAGTTGGTTCATGCTGTGAGAAAATCGAAAAGGTTTGCCCTCGAAGTCGCAACTTTTGAGCAAACACATTTCCGTGCTTCTTTACGGCGCAAAATGTGCGAAATGGTTTCCTTCGACACCTTTTTTCCTTTTATCCTTTTTCTACACGGCCTTTTCGCATCGGCCTACGTAGAAGAAAAAATAAAAAAGAAGAAAAAGAAGAAGTCTTTTCGTTCTTACCTACCGTGTACACCATACGTATGTTCGTTCCATCGGGATTTGCAAAGGTTGGATTCGACGCGCTATGTATCGAAGGTACGACGCCAAACTCTACGAAAAGTTGACACGAGACGAAATTGCTTTTGGCTTCCTTCGAAGCATGCACATACACGGTCATATGTTGTATATATAGATATATATGTAAATTTTGTAAATATTATTCCAGTGTGTGGGTATACATGTTCCATGTCTCTCTCTAACCGCTTAAAATTAATGTTAATCGATTCTTTCTTTAATTTTTTTCTAAACTATCTAAAACGAATCAATATATCAATCCTGTAATTACTTTTTTCTTCAAATTTTGTCGAAGGTATGTATCATTACGAATGTTAGAAAATATTTCAATACGATATGTTTACTTAGGAGATTATAATTTGATACATTATAATATGAACTGTGGTGAAATTAATTTTCTTTTTAAACATGATATCTAATTCTATATTTTTATATATATAAAAAAACTCAAAAAAATGCAAATTGTATATTTTTCTAAAAATATGTATAAAAAATAAAAAGAAATCGTGATTGACGTATTTATTTTTTTCTTAAATATTGTCTAAACTATTATTAGGAATGATAACAAATTATTTGGATTATGCATTCACTTAGAAATTATAATTATGTATATATTAATATGAACTGGAGGTGAATCTAATTTTGATAACTATGGTATTACCTAATTTCAGATTTTTCAAACACGTAATAAAAAAAATAGTGATCGATAATATTACTGTTAATAAAAACGACCAATATAATCAATTATATGATTTTAATCTCATTGTCTATATTAGAATATAAAAATTGTTTAGAAAGATAAAAAATAATTTTCGAAAATAATGTTTTTACATTTGATAAAAACGAAACAACGTATATTATATCACGAGCTTTCATGTCGCGAGATCGTTTTCCTTGAGAGAAAAGGTGCCGTCGAAAGCAGTTTAAAACATATCGTGCTAGTGTGCAACATGAAAAGAATCCATTTTCGAAGGCAATCTTTTCGAAAGCTACCTGGATGAAATTCGCTTCAACTTGACCAGAGAAAAATAAGGAAAAGAGAGAAAATAAAATAAAACAAAAAAAAAAATAAAATAAAAGGAAAGAAAAGTAACATAAGTAGGTAGCAAAAATGGTACTCACAATATCGAAATCCAGGTTCTCGGCAATCCAATCCCTGCCTTGCTTGAACTCATCGTGCAAACCCATGATGTAAAGGGTATCCAGACCATCGACTATGGTCGCACCCATCGTGGACGTGCCGAAGATACTGGCGCTGTGGCCCTTCTTCGTGATCGGCCTTAGCTCGTTTTTCCCCCAGGCGTACCTCACGTAATTGTCCCAACCGTGCTTCATCATCTGGACAGGGCAGAAATAAACGTTCAAGTGGTATGCTCTTGATCGAGAAAACAGGGAAGGAGAGAAGGAAGGGGATAAAATATAATAAGAAAGAAACAAACAAAGAGAGAAAAAGAGGAAGGGAGAGGAGGAGGAGGAGGAGGAAGAGGAGGAAGAGGGGAGGGTTGCAATAGTCTTTTCTCTCTTTTGAACGAAAAACTAGTCAAGGAAATCTTGGAAACGATTACGACCTTGCCGCGACCGCCTTCTTGTCTACTATCTTTTTTATCTTTCATTTCTCGTATTTTTATTTTTTTATTTATTATATATATATTATATATATATATATATATATATATTTTTTTTTTTTTCTTTTAATCATACTTCTATTCGCCATAATCGTCGTCGTCATTTCGTGTTCCATTCTTTTTACTTATTTCATTTTATTTAACTCCGAAGTTTTTAAAAAACGATATATTTGTTATTTACTTTTATTCACTATTTATAGGATTTATAGGTGGAGTCAGTTTCAAAATAAAAAAAAAAAAATGCTTCTCGTCGAAATGACAGAAATTTGTTGCAGAGAAATGTCAAAAGAATGAACATTCTAAGTTCGGTAGTTGAAATTCAGGTTTCTTTAATAAGAGATATTTTCGGATGAGGGAGGATGGGGGGGGGGAAGACGACCACCCAAGAAGAAAGAGAGAAGATGGTTTCGCGGATTTCTTGGAAAAGTCGAAAAGAAAAGGGTGTATCACTTAGCGGTAGCTCGTAAGGAAGCTAGCAAAAGGATCGTTAAGGATCGTGGATATTCCAGGTGTTCCATGGGAGAGTCGTTGTTGTTCCTAGCGGTAACCGGTGGTATTCTGTGATGATAATTGCCCACGAGGCCTATTCTCTGTAAGACGAGAGGAAACGAGCAAGAGGGGCGTGGGGATGGAAAGTAGAAAGAAGCAAGGAAAAGAAACTTGTGGTGAGTGTTTCAACCGAGCGAGAGAGAGAGAGAGAGAGAGAGAGAGAGAGAGAGAGAGAGAGAGAGAGAGATAGGAAGGTAGCACGGTTTGTCTCGTGAGAGACTCACCCGCGGAATGTTTCAAGTCTTTCGTTTCTCCTCAACACACACTGAAGAAAAAAAGAAAACGATGAGGAGACGTAGAAAAAAAAAATAAAATAAAATAAAACAAACAATATACGGCGGGGAGGAGAAGAAGAAGAAGAAGAAAAAGAAGAAATTCCACTTCCGTCCTGAGGTCGTTCGTTCCTACGTTTATCTTCTTTCTAAACCGCGAATCTTTTTCTATCTTCGTCTTGTTCTCTCTCTCTCATTCTTTCTCACACTCTTACATAGCCATCAGAGGTAGATGACTTCATTCCGTGCGAAATGAAGTTCGTTTCTTCTTGAAGACTTTTCCTCGAGTTACTCGAGAAACTCAGGAAATGAGAATTTGTTTTATTTCGAAGCTACGAAATGGGTATGAAGAAGAGACAACGAAAATAACGATACTAACAATAAGAGAGAAAGAGAGAGAGAGAGAGAGAGAGAGATTTGAAAATAAAGTTAAACCATACACCTATTCGACTCTTATCTTCTAGTAATATAAATCTGAGATGATTCGCAAAAAGAGGAGAGTGTTGTTGGATTCTAATGATTTTTTGAGAAGAATTTGTACAAATTTCTATTAACAAAAATATCGATGTCATCAAGATTAATATCTTATAAAGTGATAATAATTTCAATGAAAATTTGTTAAAAATAATGTTCAAACGCAGCGAAGAGTTTAGTGATTTTTTTGTTGTTACTAGCCATCCGTGGAATATTATTTTTTGTTCCCTTTATGACTTTTCGTTCCATTTGCTGAGATACCTTCGGTCACGGCACCCTCATCGTGTTTTTATGACGGCATAATTTAAGGGCAATATAATAACCCACCACTCTTGTTCGTCCACAGTGCTAACGGCAGAAGCGTGATATTTTTCTCTTTCGCCATCTTCTTGAGAGATTGGAATAAAAATCAAAGAAAAGTAGTTCTCACTCTTTCTCTCTTTCTTTTCTCTGGTTGAAATGGAATGAAAAGTAAGTACAAAGTGGTGATCAAAATTGTTATGACGAGTTTGAATTTATTATGTCGAGTGCCGTGGAAATAATTCTGACTAAAAGAACATTTGAAGTACTATACTAGATGTTTGATTTATCGGAAACTTATTAGAAATGATAAAATGAGTACGAAGCGATGATAACAATTTCTAACAATTAGTTTGAATTTATTTTGTCGAGTATCTTGGACAAATATCAAAGTAAAATTAATGAACATTCGAAGTAATAATGTATTTAAATGTTTGTTTCTATTGTTGTCAAAAATGTCAAAAACTTAGATTACGAATAATAAAGTTTCTCAGATATAGGAATGAAAATTTGGAATGAAAAAGATTTGAATCGATCGTGGGGGGGATGTTATCACTCAGGACGAGAACTTTGGAAATTGTAGGCAGCTTCGACGTGTCAGGTTTGCTTCGCTGCTCGTGCATCGTGGCTATCAACCCTTCCACCATTATCCATGTAATCGCGGCTAATTTGTTCGTAGAAACCACGGTATATGTTCACCGCACGAGCGGCCCTCGGTCGGTAATCTGGTTAACATCCATGTTAGGATTAAACCATTAGCCTCGGTGTCAGAGACCGGGAACTAAGGATGAAGAGAAAGAGAAAGAGAAAGAGAAAGAGAAAGAGAGAGAGAGAGAGAAAGAAAGTGAGAGACAGTGAAAGACAGTGAGAAAGTATCTGAAGAAAAAAGAGATGGAAGCAAAGCTTACGTACAGGACGTGTGGCTTCACTCAATTATTCGCCATTTTCGCGCCAACTTTCTTACTTTTTTTAAAAGTCTTCTCAGGTTAGACTTTTTCTTACAATTAGTTCCTGTTTTTTTTACGTATTCCCTTTCCGTGCTACAATTTATAGGCAATTTTGTAAAGTGATTCGCAGGAAGATTAAAAAACACTGATTTCGCTCGTATTTATATTATATCAAGATATCCAATTAAATTCCTCATTTCATTCTATTCATCGAGGAAATCCTAAAAGTATCAGATTTATTAAACTTATCTATTGGGGATTTTTGGGAGTAAAATTCAACGAGAAATACAATAGGAGAAATACGATTTCCAGTTGGACTAGCTTTGACACGAATTAATCTGTATCAGTGCACATCACCACCACAACCAACCGACTAGCTAACCAACCAACCAACTAACCAACCAGCAGACTGACCGACCCAACGACCGACTCTGTTGGTGGTTTTTTTCGAGACCAATGCTGAGGACACTCGAGTGCTCGAATGGAAAATTTCGTTGGGACGAATAGTGCGAGAGTTGAAAGTACCGTTGAACTGTGTTGCGAACTATGATCCTTGAAAATTGAGAACGGGAGGATATATTCCCAAATTGGTCATATCCTGAATTTTCATTAATAACACACAGAGAAAGTTTAAAAAATAAAGAAAGTAAAAATATAAAAAAGAGAGGAAAGTAAATAGAAATAGAATAGAGGGGATTGCTTTGATTGTAAAGTTAGAACAAACAAATAAATTGATTGAAAAATAAATAGAAAAACATGATTATTTCTCTCTCTCTTTTTCTTTTTTATCCTAATTTCAATTTGAACATCAATCAAATTAATTCACAGTTACATTTTCTTTATATTTTGATGTTTAATAAATTGTAAATGGAAATTTTGTTGATTTTAATAGAACGATTTAATTCATCATGAATATCTAAATTGTAATATGATCAAATAAATCCATTCTTCTTAATTCGTATATTAAAAGAATATTCAACTTCCTAACTCTATATTGGATGATTGAATTTATCCAAGAGTTCCTGCCTCCATTGACACCATTCCATTTTTAATCGAAATTAATTTCATATTTTAATATTAACCGATTAAAGAATTTCTCTGGGATAATAGGTTAAATGCTTCTTGCTTGTTGTCAAAAACGGAAGGATAATTTTGGAATTATCAATGTGGACGCGCGTTCCAGGATGAGCGATGGTTCGTTGGATCGAAATTCGAGATTCTTGGGATTTAATGAGATCACGTAACGAATGGACGCCTATAATTGGACGCGTCCTGCCGTGAAGTCGGGCTCGCGCCTCGATGCACCGGATGATCCTCAGGGAACCGTTCGCTATGTATAATACACACATAGTAATATAGTCTATATATTATATATGTATATATATATATATATATATATGCATATACATATATGTTATATATGTAGATCCAGGGAAAATGTATAAACGTCTTTTGCGACAGGAGCAAGTTGAAGGTAATTTTCCGCTTAGCGAGCAAGAAAAACTGGCGACGATAACGTTCTTCTTCAAGCGTTGATGTAGTTCAATCGCTTACTTCCAAAGAGTTAAATATATATCAACATTAAATTTAGTAAATATTTTCTATTATTATCTACCATAAGAGATTACGTGTCTCCAAAATGTGAAAATCTTGTTAACGAGAGAGAAAAAAAATAAAAGAGTAAGTATAACGTGTTCATAAAGGATTTTCGAGGATTCACTCTGGACATACTGGGACCAAGAACATGGTACTGATGGAAGAGTTTAAGAATGGTTGTTGAACGTGTTGGTGTGTTGCACCGGTGGGCGCCAGGATACACTATAAATTCCTGTCTCAGCAAGCTCTTGTATTTTTTTTTCCTTGCGTACAAAAGGATTGGACTGGCACTGGGCTTAGAGGGTTCAGTCTGGAGCCTGGCAGGGCGTGAGAGCCACGACACTATGGGACTGTCTCTTTTTCTCTCTTTCTCTTTCTTTCTCTCTCTCTCTCTCTCTCTCTCTCTCTCTCTCTCTGTCTCTCTCTCTCTCTCTCTCTCTCTCTTTCTCTCTTTCATTTTCTCTTTCTCACTCTTTTCAAAGTACAAAATCGCTGTTGGAGAGTGCCTTAGGAGGAATTTGCGTAGACCTATACACGCACACATATGTAGAAATATTTACACATACACACCGACA